GGTTTGGCTTACTCCCTTGGTGCACTAGAGTCTTCATGGAGATGGCCCAGCAGAGGGCGCTCCAGAGCCCAGGGCCTGGCAGTGATGTCATCCCGGAGTCCCCCCCTCACCCTCAGTGACCCCCCAGGGCAGAGCGTTCTGCAGGCAGCACCTGGGCGCCCGGGGAGGCCAGAGGCAGTGCTGCGGCTGGCAGCTCTCATGGCCCAGGCCACATTTCTAGATAGACACAGCAGGAGCCGTGACCCAGGGGCTCAGCGAGGCGCTCTGGCTTGCAAACCCCCAACGGACCGGGGCCATGTGCAGAAGGGCAATGCCAGCGTCCGCCCGCAGAATCTGGAGGGCAATGGATTGACCTCATTCTGCCAAGGCAACCTCATCAGTGCCCAGCCCGCACACGGACACGCCCCGTACACGGGTACTCCTCTCCGCACACGGACACGCCCCGTCCACGGGTAATCCTCTCCGCACACGGACACGCCCCGAACACGAGTACTCCGCTCCGCACACGGACACGCCCCGTCCACGGGTACTCCGCTCCGCACACGGACACGCCTCATACACGAGTACTCTGCTCTGCACACGGACACACCCCGTACACGTGTACTCTGCTCCGCACACTGACACACCCCCACGTGTACTCCTCTCCACACACGCGTGCCTACCAACCCATCAGCCCCATGACAGATGCTCATGTGCTAAGAGCCCCGCCCCGTACTAACAGCCTGCCCACACCTGCCCCGCCAGCCCATGGCCCTACTGGGGAGACCCATGGCAGGGGAGCACTTACTTTCAGAGTGTGGTCCTGGCTGCCTGTCACCAGCCGCCCAGCCGCAGCCTTCAGTGCCGTGATTGGCTTCTGATGGGCGCAGGGCACCGTGTGGGTCAGCTGGCACATGATGAGGTCATTGCTGCTGCACATGGGGGAGGATGGGATGCTGCTCCTGCTAGGGGTTCCTGGGGGAGCACACACATAGCGGGGGCGGTGGGCACCGCAGCCTTCCACACATGGGCCAGCACGCCCAAGAGTGGCCGCGGAGGGTGGGTGCCACAACCTCAGACGCCCGGGGTCTGATTTTCAGCACAGCTGGGCACCCATTGTTCCAGCGGAGGCCAGAGGAAGCTGCAGTGCTCAGCACCTCAGAAAGGTAGGTTTGGGGGTCTCCAGGTGGGCCCCCAAATCGGTGGCCACTTCTGAGTAAATCTGCTGCTGGAGACCAGTGCCCTGGCATTACCCAGCAGGCAGGCCCAGGGCAGGCAGCACCGCCAGCTTCTCTGCCCCTGCCTCTGCCTCTGCCTCTGCCTCTGCCCCTGCGGGAAGGAAGGGCTGTGCCCACAGGCCCGTTCAGATCTTCACCTCTCTGCATGGGCTGTACTACAGGTCAGAGTCCATCCACGCCCCCCACAGCTCCCCTCCCCACCAGCCCACTGGCAAGGAGCTGGGCTGGCTCATCATCCCAGAGCAGTGGCACCTCCAGGCTCCAGCTGAGATCAGGGCCCCTGAACAAACTCCCAGGGACAGACAGGCCCTGGCCCGAAAAGCTCACAGTCTAACTGGACAAGACAGACAAAGGGGTCGGAAGGGAAACAGAGGCACACGGCGGAGCTGGGAACAGAATTCAGGTCTCCCAAGTCCCGCTCCAGTGCTCTGTCTGTTGGATCAGTGCCACAGACCCAGATCCTCAAAGGTACTGAGGTATCTCAGTGCCATTGAAATCAATAGGAGTTTGGCACCTGAACTGGTTTACAGATCTGGGCCGTTTTCCCTCCCAGGCGCTCGCTTACCTCGGAACTGCAGGTGGTTGTAGGATGAGTGGGTTTCTAAAGAGAAGAAATCCAAGGAGCCGTTCAGCCTGGCAGCCACAATCCTGGGAGAGAGAAATAGACAAAGGTGAGGAGAGGCCTCTTCTCCATCCCCACAGGAGCCCTGGAGGCTGGACGACTCCAGCTGCAGAATAAGGACAACACCCAGATTTCCCTGGCTCCTGGCGCCCATGTGACCCAGCCACCACCTGGAGAGGGGCAGTGGGAGGGTCAGTCTCCAAGCCCCAGTCTGCCAGCAAGGGGACACAGTCCTGAGCGGTGGCTTTTGTGATGAGGTTTCCCTTGGAAACCAGACTGAGACCAGGCCACCGAACAGCTGACAGATGGGAACAGCTCGACTGGCACCCAGCTGGGCACCTAGGGAAAGGCTCTGTATACCGGTCTCCTGAACCACCCAGCACCCGGTGGAGAGGTTAAATACGCGGAGGAGAAGAGGCTACTGGGCACATGGGTACCAAGAACTCCAGGACTGCCAACCCTGCATTTCAAAAAGAAGGGAGTGTTTTCTTAGCACCCCGCCCCACCCCTCCTCCCGCTACTGTTAACAACACTAAGCAGGACTGAGCTGCATTCGCCAGGGGTATTTCTTGCTGCTTTCTGTAGCACTCAGCTGCTCCCGATCTTGTTGTACGGAGATGAAGAAATAAGGGACGCCCCTTGTAATGAGAGACTGTTGGCAACCCACTGCTCTCAGCCAGAGCCCCAGGGCTGCGGGCGAGAAAGGGGAGCTCACAGCTCTGTCTGCCACAACCCGGAGCTGCCTGCATCACCTCCCCTGGACCCAGACAGCTGGGCTCCTGCCTTCACAGCCTCCTCCCTGGCGAGATCCCTGGGGAAGGGCGCGTCAGAGGCTCTGTCCGTTACCTGTTGTTCAGGAAGACGAGTGCTGTGATTCCGGACTGACCCTCCTCGTTACAGCACCGTAAGGTCCCCTCGATGGCATCCCACACCTGGAAGAGAGGCAGAGTTACAGGGAGCCGGGGGAGGAGTCCCTGCCTCGCAGAGTGGCTGCCCAGGGGGAATTCAAGTGGTTTGGAATTTAAAATGATTGTAACAATAATGCTGGCTGTGGCCAGGTCCCCTGAGAGCTGGGCCCTTGAAATAACTATATATGGATCCCCCAATCCATCTCAGTCCTGCCCTGCAGCACCCCCCGCTAGCCCAGTCCTGGGGCCCCCCACTGCTGTTCCTGTTCGCAGTAGCGACGGATTTGCACCAGATTTTGAAGCAATCTTGTGATGCCTGGAGACAAGGTTTAGAAGCGAGTTCAGGGCATGGCTACGCTACGCAGACTACACCAGCACAACTACAGAGCCGCAGCCGTGCCGCCGTCATGCCGGAGTGTAGTCGCAGCCACGCCGATGAAGGGGTTCTTCCATCGCTGTGGGAACACCACCTCCCGGAGCGCCGGCAACTGCACGGATGGACGCGTTCTGGCGACCGAGCTGCGGCTCCACGGGGGCCAGGGCAGCGCAGCTCTGTCAGTCCACGGTGGGGATTTTTCGCCCCCCGAGCGATGTAGCTTTTCGACGTAACTTTTAAGGGGAGCCCCGGCCGCAGTCAGTCCTTCCCGGCTCCAGCGTGGCAGAGCAGGACGGGAAATGGAAACTCATGTAATGAGCTGTCTAGTGTGTCTGTCACCAGCCCCACCCTGTTGCCCTCGGCTGCCAGGGTGCGTCCTAGGCCCTGTGCGGGTGACAGCAGTCCCTCCAGGAGCTCCGTAGCTGGGGCCCCAGCATTGGGGGCAGGAGGAGTTGGGCCATGGCGTGCAGGTGGCGTACCTGGCTGCAGATCGGTTACCACCTGGCTCTGCAGGAGTTCTGGAAACACCCTAGTACAGCTGCCTTGTGCCCTCACTCACAGGGGCGCCACAGAGGGACCAGTGCTCCGGGACCATGGATGGGTGAGTGTGGAGTGCAGCCTGTTATGACTTTCTCAGTGCCCATTCAGGGGCAGGGAGCCCCTCCACCCTTACCTCCAGCTTCCCGTTGCTCCGGCCAGCCACAATGAGGTTGCCCCGCAGGTCCAGGCTCCAGACAGAGCTTTCCAAGTCACCGGCCCACACAGCGACGGGGGACTTTTCAAATCCGGCCAAAGGCTCGTCCCCTAGGCTCTTCCTGCGGGCACTGCACCCTCCTTCCCCCGTCCCGCAGCTCAGGGCCCTCGTGCTGCCCGTCCTCGCGCAGGAAACGGCCTGCCCGTGCGTGGCCGGGAAGCCGGCAAAGTTCATGCAGTTCGAAGCGCTCTGCTCCTCGTAGACCTTCTCTACCAGTCTGCCGAAGTTGTAGCCAGTGTCCTTGTGCCGGCTGCAGACTGCGCGGTGCCTGGGCTCCGGCTCCACCGCCTTGGCCTGCTCCGAGAAGTTGGTGTCGATGAGAGAGGTGAGGTCCGGCTGGTCGCAGAACAGAAGGGGCTGCAGGGGACTCAGCATCCTCTTGAGCGGGTGGCTGTTGTCGAAGGGATCCTCCAGCCCGTTCTTGGGGTCTGGGCTCTGATCCCAGCTCTCCTGGTAATCAAAGATGCCGCTGCTGTCTCTGCGCAACCTGAAATGCAGCAGCTGCAGGTTAGCACTCCCTTCCGTACAGGCTGGGAGAGGGTGAGGGACTGGCTGGGAACAACAAGCAACAGGTGAATTGTGACTCTATGGAGGGGTGAAAATCACCCCTTTCCTAACAGCTGGGGCAGTGGGTGTCCTACCAAAAACCGTGAGTTAATTTCTTCCAGCATGCGTTTACGTGGGTTAGTGAGCAGTGATCGTGTAAGGATGGGGGAGTGTTTACATGAGTTAATGAGCACTGATTGTGTAAATAAGGTGTGTTTTTCCACAGGTTAGTGAACACTGATCTGTAAGTACAGGGGTATGTTTGCACAGGTTAGTGAGCAGTGACTGTGTAAGGACAGGGGTGTGCTTGCATGGGTTAGTGAGCAGTGACTGTGTAAGACAGGGGTGTTTGCACAGGTTAGTGAGCAGTGCCTGTATAAGGACAGGGATATGCTTGCACGGGTTAGTGAGCAGTGACTATAAAGGATAGGGGTGTTTGCACAGGTTAGCGAGCAGCGATTGTATAAGGACAGGGGTGTTTGCACGGGTTAGCGAGCAGCGATTGTATAAGGACAGGGG